GGTATACATCAAACTGAACCCCTATTTAACGCAATATTGTCGCGGATTTAACGATGAGTTTTAAAATTGTTATCTCTAATATTTGTGTATATGTGATCATCACAGAAATAATATTTTAATAAGCGATAAAATATTTCTATTGGTTTTATTACGTATCACACACACACAACCCCTTCCCAGAGGTCCTCCCCCACGTGGGGGGGCGGGGAGAAGCAGCACAAGTAAGGGACTGCCCTGTAGTACAGTGTCGTGAACCGCTACGGTAACTGTGAACAGGGAACTCTGAAATGTGGCTGACTAACGGGGCAATGGTACCTCCCTTTCCATGGAGCAGCACAAGTAAGGGACTGCCCTGTAGTACGGTGTCGTGAACCGCTACGGTAACTGTGAACAGGGAACTCTGAAATGTGGCTGACTAACGGGGCAATGGTACCTCCCTTTCCATGGAGCAGCACAAGTAAGGGACTGCCCTGTAGTACGGTGTCGTGAACCGCTACGGTAACTGTGAACAGGGAACTCTGAAATGTGGCTGACTAACGGGGCAATGACACCTCCCTTTCCATGGAGCAACACAAGTAAGGGACTGCCCTGTAGTACGGTGTCGTGAACCGCTACGGTAACCGTGAACAGGGAACTCTGAAATGTGGCTGACTAACGGGGCAATGGCATCCCCCTTTCCATGGAGCAGCACAAGTAAGGGGCTGCCCTGTAGTACGGTGTCGTGAGCCGCTACGGTAACCGTGAACAGGGAACTCTGAAATGTGGCTGACTAACGGGGGCAATGGCCTTTCCATGGAGCAACCCTCAGTTGGCCTGTATTGTGATTAGGGTGACGAAAGTTTCTATTCCGGGTTATCACACAAAAATTAATAAACTAGGGCCTAATTAAGAGTAACTTAATACACCGAAAACGTACACTCAAGAGTACAACACCAACAACAAAAAGGAGGTAAATAAAAAAACTTACGATTTGTTAAATAAAATGAAAACAGTACTTATCTTTTATTTGCAGCGTTGATAAGGAGCGGGTTACACAGGTATGTGAGGAGATCACCAGACAAGCACACAGAGAACGACGTCTCCACTCGATCACCACTCCACGCATCCATTTCAACCCTCTCTTTATATACAAACATGTCACATTCGTCCAACGAGAAGACGTGGGAGATCGGTTCACCTAAAAAACAACATTCTTTCCGCATAACTGAGAAAAATAAAAGTGAAAATGTTTGTCAATATAATTTGATAAGGGTGCACGGAGCGATCTGCTCCATTGACAAGACACCACCTCAGTGGCCGGTATTGTGATCAGGGTGCACGGACCGTTTGGCTCCATGGACAAGACACCACCACGTGTCACCCAAATACCGAGGGTACTGATGTCGTGACATGTCCAGGCTGCGATTCTACTCCTCGGAGCCTGGTTGGTGGTACTACCTCCCGCCCCAGACCTGCCGGCCCAGCGAGCTGCCGTGCGGGGGAGGAGCTGCGTAGCCCTGGCGCGGTACTGCGACGGCACGGATGACTGCGGTGATGGGTCAGATGAACCCTCTGGCTGTACCGGTGAGTTCCTGGTACCCACTACTCAATTACATCGAAGGAGATTTATCATAATTTATCATTTAAATGATACATCAGGTGAAGATAAGTTTACTCTATCCGTATACCTTATCATGAGTTCTTGGTCGGTTACACACACATGGTAGGAGATTTAACATTATTTATCATTTAAATGATACAGCGGATTTCTTTAGGTAAGTTTACTCTATGCCCAGCAATGGCCGCAGCCTTGCAGAAAATTGACTTAGACCCAGAGCAGCAGCTTTACACAGCCAAGATAGTGGATATTGCTGCTGCTGTGATAGATATGCATGGAGACATCTGGGACTCTTCTTTGGACACGACAACAACAGAAAATTGACTTAGACCCAGAGCAGCAACATTACACAGCCAAGATAGTGGATATTGCTGCTGCTGTGAAGGAGATGTATGGAGACATCTGAGACTCTTCTTTGGACACGACAACAACAACAACTCTATCTGTTTACCTAATCATGAGTTCTGGAGGTTATGTACATCGCTACAGCTGGAAGTTATAAATAATGATTTATTCAGAAAATCTCCTGGACTTTCGTTCTTATGTACCCTTGTAGAATGGCAGAGATTCCCGAAAGATCGAGATTGTATTAATGAAAATAAAAGGAAAACTCATCTCCAGAAACCTCTGACACACAAGACTCTTCAATTTCCATTTTATTTTTCTATTTTAACTCGAGGAGTTTATTTTAGTCAATCTCTGTTGTGTTGTTTGATTTAAATCTCGGAGAATTTCCTAATCAATCATCTATATATATTAAATGAATTTTGAAAATAGAGCAATCCATAGATAAATCTTCAATTAAAAAGGCATATATCACCAGTACTTACCATACTACCATACTTACCAGGTAAAATAAATGATATTTTGATCCAATATATGCCTTTTTAATTAAAGATTTATCTATGGATTGCTCTATTTTCAAAACGATTTCAACCAGTTTTGGTTATGACGTTCTACGCCTTGCAAAGGTAAAATAAATGATATTTTGATCCAATATATGCCTTTTTAATTAAATATAAATGAATGTATGTGTGTGTGTGTCTGTCCTTTATGCCTGACCAAACCACTCATTGGAACACCATGAAACTTTGGGAAGTTATTTAGTATAGTACTGGGAAGGTTTCTAGCAAATACAATTTTGAAATAACTTTTCGCCTAAAAATAATCAAGATAAATATTCTAATTTATCTGTTATAATTCAACAATCTGCTCTAAATATTATCATGATGATACGATGATTTTGTAATGTAGAAAATTAGGAAAGACAAAATTCAGGATGACACGGCAATTTATTTGTGACAAGAATAATGATACAATTCCAAGGCAAGATACTATTCCTTTAACTTCCAATTACCGAGGGAACCAATTAATATTGATTTTATTCAACTTATCGAGTATTTTTCAAGGGACCGGGAAAAATGTTCACTTTATCGAGATATTCAAATTTACGAGTTTAAAATTATCAAAATATATTTTTTTTTATAAGTTTATAGAGAATTGTTTTAACAAATGTTCGTTAGACAAACCTTTACTCGGATAAAACCCAGGCGAAGCCGGGTACATCTGCTAGTTATTTATAAAGATTACATATAAGTCCTCCATTCAAGCTTGATGTGTGCTGTGAGGTTTGTTTGCAGCCTGTAACCGGACACTGCGGGGAGAACTCAATGTCAAATACCCACTCCGGATCTCCGAGCCCCAACATAAACTGGCTTGTTCGGTCGGATTCAAGCCTGGGTCTGGGGCGTTGGTGGAGCTCACATTCCTGTCCTTCCAGATTGGGAACCTGGAAACCTCGAAGTGAGAAACCTTCATCACTCTGTGATATGGCGCGCTAGTGCATCATATTATAAATGTTCTAATAAAAGAAACAATTTGATATTTGCGGAAGAGCGATTGCTCGAAGCATATTATATATTTATAAATGTATGTAATTCTACTGTCCTCTAAGCTTATGTCCATAGTTCTTCTAAAATACCCATTCAAAGAGTCTATCAACAGTATCACTATAAAAGGAAGTTCCAAAAATGCAATATAACAGCGGTATGGTAGATTAAACTGGCGAAACCGCTGAGAGGGTTCACCACTGATGAGCCAGGCCCTCTCATTAATTTTTCCATTGCAGTAAGGGCAGTAGAAATTGTTTAATATCAAAAAGAATCTTACGCCTTTAAAATAGTTTCGAACTCTGTGATATGTTACTGAACCTTTGCCAAGTATTGGAATAAATGTGTATACACTGAGAATATCGGTTATTGATTTTGAAGGAGATGCCTTTCTCTCAATAACAATAGGATTTAAAATTCTTGGAAATGAAATCGTTAAAGCACGAAGGTTTTTTTTAAAACATAAAAAAACTTCTACTCTACTTACTGCGATGAAAATATATTGGGAGGGCTTAGTTCATTAGTGCGCAAATCTCATTCTGATTATATATGCTACACTGAAGTATGGAATCTTAGAAATGGTATTTAAGCAAACTATGGACATAAGCTTTTAGGACAGTAGAATTATAAATATTTGTATCGTGCAATACTATTCCGCGAAAAAAAAAGAACAAAGCCAGTTAGGCATAAATTAACACAAAGCAATAACGCGCCATCTATACATATAAAATGAAAGGATTTAAAAGCACGAATGTTTCTTTTATACATAATACAAACTTCTACTGCCCTTACTGCGATGAAAAAATATATTGGGAGGGCTTGGCTCATCAGTGGTAAACCCTCCCAGCGGTTTCACCAATTTAATCCACCAGACCGCTTTCAGAGCTCTAATACTGTATTGGACGATTCTGCTTATATACGCAGCACTGAAGGATGGAATCTTAGAAATGGTTTTCAAGAAAACTATGGATATAAGCTTATAGGACAGTGGATATTTTTCATCGCAGTAAGGACAGTAGAAGTTTGTATTATGTATAAAAGAAACATTCGTGCTTTTAAATCCTTTCGTTTTATATGTATAGATTAATTAAAATGCAAAAATGCGCCATTTATATAGAATAATCCAAACCCTCCCAATATTTTTTCATCGCAGAAGGACAGTAGAAGTTTGATTATGTGTGAAAGAAACATTCGTGGTTCAATCTTTTCTTTTCTTGTATACAGAAGTTATTGTTATGATATAGCAAAAGAGCGTTGCTGTCTGTACCATGATCAAGATTGAAGTTTCAGACTGTCTTGGTTGTCTATCAACATAAGTAACTTATAATACAATATAATACACTGCGGCTTGTGGTTGTAAAACAATTTGATGAAATCATTGATCAAATTTTGATTTTTCATTGAAAAGAAACTCATGCGGTGTAACTTCAAGTGTTATTTTACAATCACAAGCCGCAGTGTATTATATTGTATTATAAGTTACTTTATGGATTATTTATGAACGGAAAAATACGTCCAGGGTAGTCTAGTGGATATGGCATCTGCCCGGTAAGCGGAACAAACATTGTGGGTTCGATTCCCATCCCTGAACACTTTTATTTTTCCGTTCATCATTACTCTTCATAATTCACCCTTTCATACCTCATCCAAAAAGGTTAGAAATAGTCAATATTTCACCTTGAAATAAATTTTGATGTTTTATTGAAAAGAAACTCATGCAGTGTAACTTCTCTCAAGTGTTGTTTTATACAATCAACATAAGTGTTAAATCTTCGCCATAAGTGGTTTGTTCCATGTGTGGTGTGTGCAGACAGCAGCAAAGTTGTCCTAAAGGCCACTTGGAGATCCTGGAGGAAGGACAGTCTACAGGTGGCCAGTTCTGTGGCCATATGGCAGGTCGTAGTGCCGTCTACTACGGCGGTGTTGGCCGCGAGGTGACTCTACGGGTGACAGTGCCGATCTCCCTGCCCGCGGTGTCTTTCAGTCTCTACCTCACCTTCCGCTTCCTGGCCCTCGCTCACTTCGCCACTCTCTTCGGCCCCCGCTCGGCCCCTTTCTCCCTCGGCATACCTGTGGCGGGGACATTCTGCGGCAGGACGTTCTCTGACTGCAGCGCTCGACGTTGCAAACTGCGCTCGCCCAACTTCCCGGGCTTGTACCCACGGAACGTCACCTGCGACCTTCTAGTGCGGCCGACGGGACCTGCGAGAGTCATTGTACGTCAGGATAGTGAGTACAAGGTCGCACTCTCGCCTCCTAGAGATACGTCCGAGTGTTCGCCCGTTGGAGACATTGTCAAGGTCTACGATGGAGAAAATCCGAGTGCTCCGCTTCTGGCAGAATGGTGTGGATCGGGTCCCCTCCCTGCTGTGACCTCCAGTGGACCTGCTTTGCTTGTACGGCTGATTAGTGTACAGTCCCACGTGCTTCATTCTGCTCGACTTGAGTTGGATGCTACCATCGAGACTGCTTCAGGTCCCGAGCTACGTCTGGACTCCAGAGGAAAATGTGAATTGCAGGTGGATGCGAGGAAGGATCCGCGTGTTGGTGTCCTAAGATCTCCTCGTGCTACACTACCTCCCAATACAACATGCCACGTTTCCTTGAAAGGTTCTTCTCAGCATGATCGAGTGTGGATAGTCTTCCTCTCCTATCTAATACGTGGCCCAAGGCCAACTGCGTCGGTGTTGGACGTCTGCGATGTGGCATCTCTGCAGTTACTTCACTTCGGCCCTCCGCGTAGATTCTGTGAGCAGTCAGGTCCCATCGTATGTGCGCGAGCTGCCGACTACGCAGATCTGAGTCCACCAAGACCTTGTAGACCACCTACGGAGTCATACCTATCATCAGGACCTGAAGCCGGTCTTGCATATCGAATGGCTGATCCAGGAGCATTAGCTGTTTGGAGTGTTCGCTATGAGATTGTAGATTCATATCGGCAAGGAGAACCCCAGCTCGATACCTTGTGTGATTCTCGGTTCTTCGCTTCTTCTGGGACTTTCTCTTCCCCTCGAAACGTTTTCTTGTATGGTCGTGGGGGGAGTCAAAACCTCACGTGTACCTATCACTTCCACGCCCCTCCTGGACATCGGGTACGGATGGCCATCACGTCGGCACGTCTACGGTCAGACACATGCGTCCACTATCTCGACAATGTAGTACATCAGCTACGTTGTCGGAGTACAGGAACTCAGCGTCTTGCTCTTCTACTCGCATCAGAGCAGTGGGGAGTGATGTCACGTCCCATGGCTTGTCTTTGTCACCTCGACAGCCCCCTAATCGCTCCTCTAGTTCTTGAGTCCACTGGGTCTCGCGCATCTCTATCCTTTCTGGTCACAGGCATGAGTTCGGACCAAGACGCAACACATTTCGGTTTTCAAGGACATTATGAATTCGTTTCGCAGGAGCCTTGCGAACGAGGTTTGTCATGGCTTAATGCGTCTAGTGAAGGTGAGCTCCTATTCACCCCTGATGTGATCATGAATATGTCTTTGCCTCTAAGATGCCGGTGGGTTCTAGAAGCAGCTCCGCACAAATATCTTTATCTTAAGATTGCAGGATCGGATGGATCTGGGGGCTGCAGCTCTGGCAACCGAATAGCCGTCTATGGTCCCCAGGATCCCGAGCCTCGTGTTCTTGTGTGCGTTCTAGGCAACTCACGTGAAGAATTCGACGTATTTTCTCTTGCTTGGTATAACGAGAGTCGAACGGCGTCCCGTGATCAGCTTATAGTTGAGGTGATGGCATCCGTAATCCCTGCAACGTTTTCTGTACGTTGGTTGGAGGTTACGCGCCGTTCAGGGCAATCGTTACGGACAGTCAACTGTCTTCACGAATGTCCTGAACTCAGCGCGTGCATCAGCCCAGAGCTCTGGTGCGATGGCAGCGCCCATTGTCCATCTGGCTATGATGAAGCTCATTGCGGAACAACACCAGCTCTCTATGTCGCAGGAGCTTGCCTTGCTGAATTGTCGCTCTCCTAGGCGCCTTTGCACTTGCCTCATCTCGAGCAAGCGGTTCCACACGCAAACGCCACCCTCGAAGACTTCGTATGGAAGAATTCCAATTGGAAAGTCCACAATGAGACCAATAAAAACCTGCCTTAAACATTTTAAAAATCTAACAATGGAAATATAACTTTTTACCCGAAAGCCACAAATAAGACTTTAACCAGGACAGTTTTAAACCGGATTAATTAACTATATATATAGTTAAGCATTCATTTGCATTCATAAATAGTTTGTTGGTGGTGGGTACCGCTTTGTAAAACAGATGTCCTAAACAATACCATCTGCTCATTATGGAAGTCTTCAACATATTTGCATAATGGCAAACCTAATTTAAACTTGCTCTAATTGCTGTCGCGGACCCTGCGCAACCCTTTTCTAACATCTTCCTTGGAGAATTTCAAGAGATGGATTCTCTTACAAAAGAACGGTGCACATATTCGAACTTGCTCAACCTAATATTCATATCCCTTCTAGCAAACAGCAGATTTTTATGTATTTTGCTAGAAACTTCTGCACAGCCTGGAATCATATCGTCGGAGGCAAGCCCGACCACACTGTTCTATTAGTTTTACTCTATGACATTTATTTTTACTTTTAGAATTATTTTAAATGATTTTTTAATATTCTTTATGTATTATTATCATTATAGAATTTTGAATTTTTATATATTCCATAATCATGTTGTTTATACTTCCAATATTAAATTATAACATGAAAAAATTATAATCACATTTTAGGTATGAAAACTAACATTAAAAGAAAACAAATATAATTAGCATTTTAAGATGTTTAACTAACTTAAACAATATTAATTACACTTTTATATATAAACTGATTTTTATTTTATAAATTTTAATAATATAGAAATTTAAACGCAGATATATAAATTTCAGAAAAAAAGTCGGTTTAAATAAAAATACAAAAGTATATACTATGAGAGAAATAAATAAATAGAAAAACTTCAGTGAAAAAACATCAGATAATTTACTCGTATAATAAAAAATAATATTTCTTATTGTATTTTTTTTTTTATAATAATTGAAATATTCCGTTTTTATCCATTTTTTTGTGTATTCATTGATATATAGGTTTTGCACTTTCAAGACAAGATTTTATACTTAAATAACAACATTTTACATATAATAACAATATCTATTACACTTTATAATAGCAACTTTCAACACTTTAATAAGAACATTTTCATTTTTAACAATATTTTCGATTTTATATGAAATTTAAAATATTGATACTATAAATAAGTTTTAATATATAGAAATACCTTTATTTTGATTTAAATATAGAAACGGTCTATATTTAAAAATATATGTTTTATATCAATCAAAAAATGTAATCATTTAATTGAGATTTTTTCGAATAAAGTTAAATATCGTTTGAAATGGGGCGTTTATATTTTTCTATATTTTTGCTACAAACTGTTTCCCAGCTTTGACTTCAGCTGTTTTTATAACTATTATGTTAAATATAGCTTTTTTGTTGATTTAAATAAATCTCATTTTGGCTTATATATTTCTCCATCGCATGTGTGTTGAGATAATGTTCTAGCGCAAATACAATATCATATAAAATTTAATTAATTTTCGCAAAAGGCAATATTAGTTCTTATTCTTGTTTGTGGTTTAATATCGAAAACCTCGAAGGAAATGCTAACTTACTTTAGTTTACTTTAAACTTATAGAAATCAATTTTAAAAAGCACATTTATTAAAATAGTTAAAGGTTACGCTGCAAAGAATCTTGTAATAGGAATATAGATAAGATTTAACGCCATAATAAATAGTGATTAAATCTATTTGAGAAAATTCTTAATGTTTTATCTTTAATGCTTGATTAAAAAATATAAAAAAAATAAAATTTATTTATAATAAATAATATATATTATTGAATTTTAAAATAGACGAATTTTTCAAATAAAATAAAGTTTTATAAAATTAAAGGTATTTTTATTATAATTGCTAAAATGAATTTTTAAAATCGAAAAATATCAATTAAAAATGAAATTGTGGTTCCAATATGTATTATAAGTCATTTTTAAAGTGTAAAGTGTTGTCATTAAAGCATTAAATGTTGTCTTGAATGTTTACAAACCCGATATAAGAAATGTAAATCTAATAGAATATATAAATAATAAATTTATAATATATATTTCAATATATCGAGCAATTTATTTATTGGTAATTTTTTTAAATATATTTATTTGTTTCTAATTTTAACTATTACTAAAATAATGAAAATTACCCCTTCCCCCCTTTGCTTTTATTACAAATGCAATTCTTGAATGCAAAATTGACATTTTGGATTTCAAATAAGATATTTTTATTCATTAAGGATATTTCTAGTAACATTAAGAACATTTACAAGTTTATTAACGACATATTGATGTATGATCTCAGCATTTTAAAGTTTAAAATCGATTTTTTTATTATATCTCAAGTAATTCGATGTTAAACTTTAAAATGTTATTATTATACCATAAAATGTCATTATTTAACTATACACTGTTGTCTTATAACTGTAAACTTTTTATATATGTGTGCATATATATATGAACACAACAAACCGCC